GGGACTAGAATCCCATGTGTATACTGACATGCCTACTTTTCCATGTCATTTTGTTTTCTATTTTGAGGCAGGATTTCTCTCTGTAGCCTTGGCTGTCCTGGAACTTACTCTGTAGACCAAGCTGGCCTTGAACTAACAGAGATCCACCTGCCTCTGCCTCCTGAGTGCTGGAATTAAAGGTATGTGCCACCACCGCCTGGCAAAAGTAAATTAAAAAAATATGTATACATGTGTGCACATATAGGACTATGTATGTGCAACATATGTATGCAGATGGCGATGGCTAAAAGAGGACATTAGATATCCTGGAAGTGGAAATAACAGGTGGTTGTGAGATGTCCTATGTGGGTGCTGGGAACTGATCCCTGGCCCTCTAAAAAGGCAGTAAGTGCTCTTAATCACTGAGCCATCTTTCCAGCCCTTAAAAAAAAATTAATTAATTAATTAAATAAATAAATCTTAAAATGGGACTGGGAATGTAGCTCAGGTGTAAGATAGAGTGCATGCCTAGCACGCAAGAGGCCAGAACATAAAATTAATGAAGCATGGTATGGTGGTGTACTCTGTAATTACAGCATTTGGCGGATAGAAGCAGAAAGATAAGTACAAAGTCATTCTTGGCTATATAGTAAGTTTGAGGTCAGCCTGAGCTACACAATGTCTCTAGAAGTAAAATAATCAAGAAAAAGTAGAGAAAAACAAGAGTAACCAAAAAAAAAAAATTTTTTTTTTTTCAAGATAGGGGTTCTTTGTGTTGCCTTGGCTGACCTGGAACTCATTCTGTAGACCTGGCTGGTCTAGAATTCAGAGATCCATCTGCCTCTGCCTCCTGAGTGCTGGGATTAAAGGCGTAAGCCACCACTGCCCGGCCTGAGTAATGAATTTATATATATACATATATGGATATCCTCTATCTGTTTTGAAGGCCTTTTTATCATCAGGGGTAGAGGTGCATGTGCCACAGTGCATGTGTGTAGGTCAGAGGACAGCATGTAAGAATTGTTTTTTCCTTCTACCATGTGGGTCCTGGGGATGGAACTCATAGTCAGGATTGACTGTAAGTGCCTTTACCCACTGAATCATCTCTCATGCCCATGAGAACCTGGGTTTAATCCTCAGAATCCACATAAAAAAGCTAAGGGTGGCAACTAGCACTAAGGGAGGGTGAAACAGGCAAGCCTCTGGCTCACGGGCCAGTCTTACTAGTGTACCTGGTGAATTCCAGGCCAATGAGACCATGTCTCAGAACACAAGTGGGGGCAGTGCATGATGAGTACCCAGTGTTGCAGACCATTACTTTAATTAAGTAAAGCTGTGTTACATTTGTTTATGCTGCATTTGTGTAATTATGGGAAGATGGGTTGCTGTTTTACCTTGCCCGTCTAAAGCAGCACCTGATTGGTCTAATAAAAAGCTGAACGATCAATAACTAGGCAGTAGAGGGATAGGTGGGGCTGGCAGGCAAAAAGAATAAATAGGAGGAGGAATCAAGGCTAGAGAGAGAACAAGAGGAGAGAATGAGGGAGAAAGAGATGGCAGCTGCCAGCCAGCCAGACACAGATTAGGACATACAGAATGAAAGAAAGGTAAAAAGCCCTGAGGCAAGACATAGATGAAGAGGAAACAGGTTAATTTAAGTAAGTAAGTAAATAAATAAAAAAAGCTAGCCATAAATAAGCATGAGCTAAGGCCATGTATTCTAATAAGTCTGTGCCATGATTTGGGAGCTGGTTGGTGGCCTAAAAGAAAACCTGCTACAATCCAGTGTTGTCCTCTGCCTTCCAGACACCTGTTCACACATCGGCCTACACACATCCACATATAAGTGCAACCGAGCACACACAACACAAGAATATTCAAAATTCAACACTGAAAAAGAAACAATCCAGGATGACAAGATAACAGGCCAGGAAAGGGACCTGTTGCTATGCCTGTTTGATTCCCAGAACTCAGTAGAAGGAGGTTTTGAACGTGGTGGTGGGGATGGAAGGAAAGGAAGGATGGGATTCAGAGAGATACCAGATTACAGGAGCTTGGGGATTTTACTTTAATCTGGCCATGATGATCTGGGTGGTCTTTCTCCTCAAATCATGGGGATTAACATTACTATTGTCCTTCTGTTTGTGGTGCTGTTAATCCCAGTGATTCAAGGAGAAAGACTGCCAACCCAGAGGGACAACAGCATGGTGGACGATCGTACAGGCCTCAGCCTGAGACGTGGTGGCATCTCTAAACATAATCAGAGCAATGTGCAGAGGAGGGAGCTTTTTAAAAAAGATTTATTATATATACAGTATTCTGCCTGCATGTATATTTGCATGCCAGAGGAGGGCACCAGATCAGATCTTATTATAGATGGTTGTGAGCCATCATGTGGTTGCTGGGAATTGAACTCAGGACCTCTGGAAGAACAGTCAGTGCTTTTAACCTCCGAGCCATCTCTCCAGCAAGGGGGCCTTTTTTTTTTTTTTTTAAAGATTTTATTTTTATGTATGAGTGCTTGTATGCTTATCTGTTGTGAGTGCCTGATGCCCCCAAAACTGGTTTTGAGCTACTCTGTGTGCTGGAATCTGAACCTGTTACCTCTGCAGGAGCAACAAGTACTCTTAACCACTGAGCCATCTCTCTAGCGCCCGGAGACTCTGCTCTCATAACTTTTGAGAGTTGGGGAGGCTCAAGCAGAAGTCTACAGTCAGGCTCTCAGATTCCCAGGCTAGAGGCAGGAAGCAAAAGAGGGTGGGTCACAGGATATGACACCCCTTTGAAGTGAGTTTATATCAAGTTTGCTAGTTTGGGCCTTACAATGTCCCAGTAGGGAACCTGTCAGTATCTGTGAGGAGAGACTAGATTTTAACTTTTTCTTTTAAGACGTATTTTTTTTTTAAAAAGAATTATTTAGAGTGTTTGGCCTGGGTGTATATATTTGTATGTGTATGCCTGCTTTGAGTGCTGGGAGCAGGACTCCTCTGGAAGAGCTGTCCATGCTCTTAACTGTTGAGCCATTCCTCCAGCCCAACCATTACACTCTAATAAAAGAGAGCTACTGAAAGTTTATGGCTGCTAGGAGAGCAAAGCTCAGTTTTCTTTGGGGTTGAAAGCCATCTTTAATTCCAGCAAGGGACTAGGAGTAACAGATTCCATGACAGGCAGATAGGGAGAGGAGCTACGACTACATAATAAAGATGGTGAATTTTCAAGATGGCTGGTTGTTTCTTCATTCTCTTAACCTAAGCCAAAACCTGGAAGCTTAAAGGCCTGGCAGGCCTTTTCTCCTATTATAGGGACTCAGGCTTGTGGTTTAGTCCAACAAATTCAAGGCCCAACTAGGATGTGTTTACCCCAAAGTTATAGACCCTTCCCATCTGCCTTCCTGTCTTTAAATAAACTAACCAATCAGAAGTTAGGGGAGACCCTTAAAACCCCTAACCCTCAAGGAGAGACAAGGCTCTTTTGTACAGCGTCCTCCCCTCTGCTTGCAAGGGGTCCTTTTCTCTGTGCCCTTTGTGTCTATCCTCCCACACCTAATAAAAGCCTTTTTCCCTCTCTCTCTCTCTGTGTAATAGTTCTGCCTGTCCTAGAACTCACTTTGTATATATACCAGACTGGCCTCAAACTCAGAGAGATCCACCTGCCTCTGCCTCCTGAGTGCTGGGATTAAAAGCGTGTGCCACCAGGCTCCAGTACTTGGCACACTTTAATTCGCGTTTGAGATTAACCCCGCACGGGAGGTACTATAATATTACTTAGATAAAGGGAAACTGGTTTTGAGAGAATGGGCGATTATGTCTGATTTGAAAATCACAACTCCACCCCCAAGAAAAGGTGGCCTATTTCAAGAGATCTCAGAGCAATTGGCAGCCCAACGCCAATGCCTCCGTTCCTCTTGATTGACCACTGGCCCTTGCCTACCTCCAGCTTCGATTTCTGCACAGGAAAGATGCTCACGGCTCTAAGAGCCCGAACCAAATCCCCAGAAACGTGCCGCCTTTCCTAATCTAGTTTTAGTAGCGACTCCTCCGCATGCAAATCGTCCTTTTGCTTCACCTGTTTGAGTCAAATTCAACAGCCAGGAGGGCGGGCAATTCTGCAAGCAGGAATCCTGACACCTGCTAGTCGTACCCACTGGGCTAAGCCACGCCTCCTAGGGTCGGTTGAACTTCAAAGCGGAAATCCTAGACCCTTAGCTGCCCGCCTCTTCCTTCAGGCGGGAACGTCGAGCGCCAAGATCACTGAGCGCAGCCAATAGGGGAATGTGGCGACAGAATGGCGGGAGGTTCGATTGACACTGCCTGGAGGCTGTTAACGCGCGCTTCGGGAAGAGGAAGGTTAAGGGCAAGATGCCGGAGACGCTCTTTGCCTCTTTTCAGCATCTTCTAAGATTCTTCTCCTCCTCCTAACCTGGACCTTCTACCGGCCCTTCCCGGGTTACTGTTGAACTTCCCTCAAGTCTTTCCTGGGTTCCTACTTGACCGACCTCCCTGAGACTGAGGTTGGGCATCAGGCCAGCTCTGGTAAATTCCCATCCCTCTCCGAAGGATTCAGGCACCTCGCCTTCGTACTTAAGCCTCTACTTTTTCCGTGGCTAGTGATAACTCTCAGGATAGCAGCCCAGCTAGGGACGTTATTCCGACTCCAATTTCATCTGCACCTTCACCTGCCGCCTCTCCCATTCCAACCTGGCTTCGCCTAGATTTGTATTTTGGATTTTTTGAGCCTTGAGTAACTGGCGACCGACATTCCTGGTTTGGACCCAAGTTCCAGCCCCTGATTGCGTCTGTTCCACCCGTGACGACTCTTTAGATTTTCTTTTTAGTGATAAAGCAGCTCCCCTCTATAGCATGCCCTGCTCCTGCATTCTCTGTTGCTGAGTGCTTTTAATTTAGCTGATGGGTACTTGACATCTGATGCGCCTGGGCCCAGGATGGTAAGTATGACCTTAAGCATACTTCAAGTTTGCTGCAGGATCTCTGCAGGTACTCACTTTCTGTTTCCCCTTACAGAGGAGGAGCTTAGCTCCCAGCCAGTTGGCCAGGAGGAAACCAGAAGGCAGATCATCTGATGATGAAGACTGGCAACCTGGGACTGCAGTGAGTGTTCAAAGGAATAGGGAAAGCGGGGATACAGGGCTGTTTGGACAGGAAAAGAGTCTGGAGTTGGTTTCTGTGGTTCACAGTCATCTTCAAAATGTACCTTCATACATTTAGTAGCCTTTTTTCTTCTTTTTTTTTTCTTTTTCTTTCTTTCTTTCTTTCTTTTTTTTTTTTTTGGAGGCAGGGTCTCACTGTGGTCTGTGGACTGCCTCCCCAATCCTCCTGAGGTCACAGCCATGCACCAGCATGTCTGGCACTTATGAAAATTTACAATGTACCAGGCACTGAATAAGATTAATAAGATGGAGCCCGGCGGTGGTGGTGCACGCCTTTAGTTCCAGCACTCGGGAGGCAGAGGCAGCTTGGTCTACAAGACAGCCTCCAAAGCCACAGAGAAATCCTGTCTCGAAAAAAGGAAAAAAAAAAAAAAAAAAAAAAACAACAACCAACAAACAAAACAAAAAAACCCAGTTAAAAAAATAAAATGGTTGTCCTTCAGGTAGGCTCACTAGAAACTAACACAGCCTTTTTTTTTTCCCGTGGGAGGAATATATTAAAAACAAGGAATTGGTTATGTTGGGTTCCAGTACTGCAGAAAGTGGGTGTAGTGGGTGTGGTGATGCACATTTGTATTCTGTGCACTTCCCTAGACTGTATTGTGTATTCAGGCGAACCTGGGATACATGAAACCCCTCATTTAAAAAAGAATTTTCATGTGGGAGCTTATAAGGAAAGGACTAGAAGGCATAGAAGGCAATCTGCCTGCCTCTGCCTCCCAAGTGCAGGGATTAAAGGGAGGGATGTGCCGCCATGCCTGGCTTTTTTTTTTTTTTTTTTTTTTTTTTTGTCTTTTTGAGAAAGAGTTTTCTATTATGTAGCTTTCTGGCTGACCCTGAACTCATTATGTGTAAACTAGGCTAGCCTTGGCTTTAGAGATGCACTTGCCGTTGCCTACTAAATTCTGGGATTAATAGTGTGGGCCACCATTCCTGCTCTAGAAGGCTCTTCTTGTTAGGGTCTGTGTGTGTGAGTAAAGGCACGTGAAGAGAAGCGGGTCTGGTAATGGTTTCAGATGTGCCTTATAAAATCATCATTGATTCAGATAGCGTGATGAGCTGGTACAAGTGTGCGCTTGCCTGATGGCTCGGGGTTAACTTCTTTTTTTTTTTAATTGTTTTGGGAAGAGCATATCTGCTATGTCACTTAAGAGGAGGGTCAATTATCTCTTTCCACTATGTGGATTTGAGTATTGAACTCAGGTCATCAGGCTTGGTGGCAAGTATCCATACTGCTCAGCTGTTTTGAGATGACCCCTCTCCCCCACCTTTTGAGATAGGGTCTCTTATGTAGCTCAGCCTGGCCTCAAACTCATGATGTCAGAGTAAACCACCATGCCTGGCCTGGGGCTCATCAGCATTGCTGCTTTGCTACATGTGAGAGAGGAACAACAGCTCTCTTTCACCATTTACAAAGATCTCAGCATTGAACACAAAAATCTCAGCATTGAACTTGGGGCAGTGTTCTCTGCAGGTGAGTAACGAATGGAACTGTATTTCTAAAAGCACTGGTTGTTTTAGTTTGTTTTGAGACAGGGTGCTGGGATTAAAGGCCTGCACCACCATGCCCAGCAAGTTTCAGTTTTCAGACTTGGTAGATGATAACTTAGGGTTGCTGTGGTAGGCATATATATATTAAAAGTGGAGGCTAGAGAGATAGCTCGGTGGTTAAGAGAACGGGCTGCTCTTCCAGAGGATCTGAGTTTAATTCCCAGCACCCACATGGCAGCTCAAGACTGTAACTCCAGTTCTAGGGATATTTCAACAACCTCATACAGGCATACACACATGTAAAACACCAATACATGTAAAAGAAAAATAAATAAATAAAAAAGGAACTTCATTAAAAAAGTTTAGTGTGGTGCCTGACGATAAGTACTTTGTTTTTGTTGAGTCAGGGTCTCAATATAGCTCAGGCATGCCTCAGATTTGCTCTGTTGCCAAGGATAGAATTGAACTCCGGATCCTCCTGCCTCTGATGTTCAAATGCTGGGATTACAGGTGTGTGCCATCATATCTTGTTGGTGCTTTTTTTTGCCATGCCCCCCAGTACTGGCTTTTATATTTGCTAGACAAAAATTCAACAACTGTCCCGGCGGTGGTGGCCTACACCTTTAATCCCAGCACTCAGGAGGCACAGGCAGGCAGAGCTCTGTGAGTTCGAGGCCAGCCTGGTCTACAGAGGCTCCAAAGCAATACAGGGAAACCCTGTCTCAAAAAACAAAAACAAAAAACAAACAAAAAACAACCTCAATAACTGAGTAGTATTGCTAGCTTGTCTCAATCTGTCAGTTATGTGAGACTACACATGCTCAGCATCACTTCTGCCTCGAATAAGTACTCAAGGCCTGATTGCCAGTAGAGTAGTCTCTGGGGTTGTCCAGGGGTTGAAATGTAGCTTTCCCATTTCTCTCATAGACTCCTAAGAAAAGAAAATCCAGTGATGAGACCCAGTGTTTCCTGTCTCCTTTTCGGAAACCTTTGACTCAGTTAATCAACCGACCACCCTGTCTGGATAGCAGTCAACATGTAAGTCATAAGTACAACTGGCCTGATTTGGTGTGTGTACGTGCCCAGTTCTTTTGCCTTCACAGAGGAGTGACCAGCTTGTCCCTAGCTTCTATGTGACCTGCTGGGAGGTGTGCTTGCGTCTTCCCTGGTTTATAACTGGGTACCAGATCTAAAGTGGCTCAGATTCCTAAATAAATGAGCCAAGGGAAGGCTGTAGCATTGATCAGATACTGTGTATCACTTTTTGTTTCCTTTTCTTTCTTTTCTGTTTTTCTTTCTCTTTTTTCACATAGTTGTTTCATGTAAGTCCAGGGTGGCTTTGAACTCTGTCAAACTTTTATTTACTTATGTATGTATGGGTATTTTGTCTGCATGTATGTTTGTGCATCATATGTGTACCAGGTGCCTGCAGAGGCCAAAAGAGGATGATGTCAGATCCCCTGGAACAGGAGTTAGACATTTGTGACCTACCTAACATGTGGGTGCTGGAAATGAACCCTGGCCCTCTAGAAGAATAGCCAGTGGTCAAGCCCCAGCCATAAACTTTTAATCTTCCTTCCTCTACCTTCTAGATGCTGTATTACAGGTGTCATGGCTTAGAAAGTACTAGATCCCATAGTTTTCCCTGTTTCCTCTAGTAATCAACTTCTCACTGTGACAGGGTCTTGCATTATTTTGTACAACTTTTCTTTTTTCTTTTTTCTTTTTTTTTTTTTTTTGAGACAAAGTTTCTTTGCATAGCCTTGACTGTCCTGGAACTAGTTTTGTAAACCAGGCTGGCCTTGAATTTATAGAGATCTACCTGCCTCTGCCTCCTTAGTGCTCTGATTGAAGATGTGATCTGCCACACCTGTTTTTTTTTTTTTTTTTTTTTTTTTTTTAATTGTTGCACATGTTTTTATTTGACTGTATCTTTCCATGTATATGTATGGACATGCATGCTGTACACGTGTGGAGGTCAGAAGATAACTTCTGAGAGTTGATTTTTCTCATTCTACCATGTGGATTTCAGGGTTAAATTTAGGTTGCCACATTTGGTGGCAAGTGCTCAGCGGTCCAACTTTTGCTCATTGAAAGGAAAATGGGAATATATAACTGAATGTAGTCATTTGTATTCAATATTTGTATTCACTTTTGTATGATAGTGGGCACTGGAAACAGAACCTGGGTCTTCTGCAAGAGCAACAGGTGCTACTACTAACTGCTGAGCCACCTCTCCAGCCCTGACCCCTTGCTTTTTGTGTTGGGTGTTTTTTGTTTGTTTGTTTGTTTTCTTCCGAAAGAATCCTGTTAGGTGATTGTTAATTGTCTAGAACTTTTCAATGGGCTGTGTTCAAGTTGTTCCATGGGTGCCTTAAATGGCTTCAGTTTAGAGGCTGAGAATGACTTACTAAATTAACTTCTGAAGGTCTGATGAGTCATCCTGGTATAAGGAGTAAGAGAGATTTTAGGTGACTAGCTTGAGGAAAGCCTGGCCTCTGATTGAGTCAGCTCCTGAAAAGTGTTTGCCAAGTTGGTCATCAGGTGGAGATGTGGGACGCTGACAGGTAGAGAGTGATGATAGGCGGGGTGGACAGCTGTGTAGAGTTCTGGAGTGGAAGGCCTCTTTTGTACTCATGTTGTAAGAGTCTGGGCTTTATTCTAAGGCTGCCGAGGACTTTTGAAGTTTTTTTTGTTTGTTTGTGTGTATATATATATATTTGTGTGGTGTCTGAATATTTACACGTATGTGTGTGCCTACCAAAGCCAGAAGAGAGCATTATATCCTTGGAGCTAGAGTTACAGGCAGCCATGTGCTGGGAATTGAACTCTTCTCTGCTGCAAGTGCTCTTAACCACTGAGCTATCTCTACCTCTGAAGTCTTTTATGTGGAGGTAGGAGGTATACAGTGGTGCAAAAACTATATTTGAAAGAGGAATAGAGATGGAAAAGTCAGTAAGAAGGTGAAAGTAAGGCAGAAGCAGGCGAAGTCCTAGACCAGCTTGGTCTACAAATGGAGTTCCAGGACGGCCAGTACTACACTGAGAAACCCTGTCTCAAATAACAAAATTATACCTTTTTGTTTTTTGAGACAGGGTTTCTCTGTATTGCCTTGGAGCCTGTCCTGGAACTTGCTCTATAGACCAGGCTGGCCTCAAACTCAGAGCTCTGCCTGCCTATGCCTCCTGAGTGCTGAGATTAAAGGCATATGCCACCACTGCCCCATTTCTGCATTTTTATTAAAGTTCATTCATGATTAAATTGGAAAACTGCTAGTATCTGATTCCTAGCCCTTATCTTTCTGCTTATAATCATGTACGTAGGTACCTTCTGAACCCCATGGGGAAAATTCAGAACTACCAATTACAGAAAGAGATTAATTTGTTTGTAGGCTTTTTTGTTTGTTTTGAGATAGTATCTCATAAATCCTGAAAAGGCCATAAGCATAGCTGAGGGCAACTTTGAACTCCTGGCCCTCTTGCTTTTTTTTTTTAAATTAAGATTTATTTATTAGGTATACAGTGTTCTGTCTGTATGTATCCCTGCAGGCCAGAAGAGGGCACCAGATCTCATTACAGATGGCTGTGAGCCACCTGCTGGGAATTGAACTCAGAACCTCAGGAAGACAGTGCTCTTAACCTCTGAGCCATCTTTCCAGCCCCAAGGCCCTCTTGCTTTTACCTCCCAAATGTGACATTCCAGGCCTGCACCATCAAGCCTGGCTCGATTCTTTTTAGAATGAATACTTTGCATCATAATGGATTTTGTGTCATGTTCTCAACCCCTTCTCTCCCTTCTTGTGTGCTACTGATTCTCCCCCAACTCTAGGTCCTTTTGTTGGTGATCTCCCCCCCCCCCCCGCCATGGGTGTTTCTCTGTTGTAGTCCTGGCTGTCCTGGAACTCACTTTGTAGACCAGGCTGCCCTCAAACTCAGAGATCTGCCTGCTTCTACTGGGATTAAAGGCATGGACCACCATGCCTGATTTTAAATATAGGAATTTTAACAAGCTCTATACCAGTGATTCTCAGCATATGGGATGCAATCCCTTTTGCTAACCTCTGTTTCCAAAAATATTTACATTACAATTCATAACAGTAGCAAAATTACAGATATGAAGTAGCAACAAAAATAATTTTATGGTTGGGGGCACCACAACATTAGGAAATGTATTAAAGGATTGCAGCATTAGGAAGGCTGAGGACTACTGCTCTATACTGAGCTGTATCTCTAACCCTTTTTTTCACTTTGTACTTTGAGATATGATTTTACTAAGTTTCCCAGGCTGGACTTGAACTCTGTGCTACTGGATGTCTCATGGCATAATTGTTACACATTTGATAGTGATAACAAACAAATGGCTGTTTTCAAAAAAGCCACACAGGCCAAGCAGTGATGGTACACACCTTTAATCCCAGTACTCGGGAATCAGAGGCTGGCGGATCACTGAGTTCAAGGCCAGCCTGGTCTACAAATTGAGTTCCAGGATAGCTTCCAAACCTGCACAGAGAAACTCTATCTTAAAAACAAATCAGAACAAAAGGCCACCCAGATGTGGTGGCGTACTCTCTTAGTTCCAGTTCTCATAGGCAGAGGTAGGTGGATCTCTGCAAGTTCAAGACTAGCCTGGCCTACATAGTAAGCTCCAGGCCAACCAAGGATGCATAGTGAAACCCTGTTTCAAAAAACCATCACCACCACCACTGAAAAAGCTCAGATGACACTGTATTCTGGAAGTGCAAATCTGCCTTGAAGGTCTCGGCAGTTTCTCACAGCAGACCAGATACCATAAGGGAAATAAGGGGAAATTAGCTGGACTTCTGATAATGTTTAATTTCTGTGTTTGCTTGTTTGTTTTTGAGACAGGGTTTCTCTGAATAGTTTTGGAGACTGTCTTGAAACTCACTCTGTAGATCAGGCTGGCCTCGAACTCACAGAGATCTGCCTGCCTCTGCCTCCCCAGTCCTGGGATTAAAGGCATGTACCACCTACTGCCTAGCTGATAATGTTTAATTTCAAGGTGTGCCATAGTTTCGGAATTATCATGAAGTTCCCTCAACCTCCATTAGAGGGTGTGCTTTATCAAGGAGCTTTTGTAATCCTTTAGCTCCTGGGTGTTTTGTTTTGTAGTAGTCCCTCTAACATAATACCCTTTAGCAGCGATGGCCTTTAATTCCATTGATTGACTAAGGCAGACTCGCATTGTGTAGCCCAGGCTGACTTTTAATTCCTTTTAAAATAAGAAAGAAATATATAGGCATGTGTACAGCCCATATTACATTTATCTCATTACCAGTGAAGGCATGGATATATTTTTCTTGGCTTTTCTGTTTAAGACCTGTCCTAGCCTTCTTTAATAAATTTGTCTCTATTTCTAAAACACCTAACATACACACATATGTATATAATTTTTTTTTGATGGAAAAAGAGACTCATAAAGGCAAAAATTGTCTAGATCTCACAAAAGCCTTAATGTGGCCTTAGAGATAAAGACTTTAGCTTTGGGCATGATGAATTTAAAGAGCCTGCAGGAATTTACTTTTACAGGCTGTTGCAAAGTGTGTGTGTATTGTGTGTGTGTGTGTGTGTGTGTGTGTGTGTGTGTGTGTGTGTGTTGCCTAGGGGTATGGGATGGATCAGGAGGGTTTGAGAGACGGCTCAACTGTTGAGAGCACTGGCTGCTTTTCCAGAGGACTTGGGTTCAATTCCTAATGGAAGCTCAAGACTGTCTATAGCTCCAGTTTTAGGGGTTCTGACACCCTTGTACAGATATACATGCAGGCAACACACCAATACACATAAAAATAAGTAAATTTTTTAAAAAGGAATAGATTAGGTAGTCTTTGGCAAAGAGATATTTGATATCTCAATTGTGTTGGGTTTGGGTTGGGTGGAAGGGATTTGGGTTAAGTCCTGAGCTCTGAGGAACACTGACTTTTTAGAGCATTTAGGCAGAGGCGGAACACCCACTGGGCTGAGCATGAGATTCCAGAGAAGTGCAGTAGTGAGAGCAGGGTCAGGGCAGCGTATCTGAGAGGAAAGAATTGTTAGCGTTGTTAAGATAAGAATGGAAACTTGTCCATTGGAATCAGAAGCATGCAGGCCATAGCCTTGTACAGAGTCACTTAGGAGTGGAGGTCAGGTTAGAGTGGGAGGCAAGAAAGGCAGACATTAAATTCTTTCTAGAAATTTGCCTGTGAAAGGGAGAGGTAAAAGATGAAAGGCAGAGTGCTAATCAGGTTGGTGAAAGACAGCTAGCAGGGGCAGAACACTTGAGGTGGAGAGTTGGGTATAATTGCCCCTTGAGTCTGCTGAAATAGGAAGTTAGTGGTTGTGGAGATTGTACTGTCCTCCTGTCAGAAGGAAAGCACATTCTCTCTAAGAAGGAGGGAGATGGGGAGCGTCCCTGGACCCTCATCTGGGATTCCAGCCATTTGTATGCAACTCTTCTCTAATGGTCTGGGGGAGACCCTAGAGTATCTGGGCTGAGGAAGAGTGAATGAAGAAGGCCTCCTCCATCTATGGCTACTAGATGTCCATGCTGGGAGAGGACTTTCCAGTGTTGTTGTTTTGGTGTTACACTCCTGCCAGCAACCTGTCCTCTGCCCTGTTCGGGGGAGTAGGTAGACATTGTTTCTTAGGGAAGGAATTCTCAAAATGTATGGTATAAATTTTCACCAATTAGTGGACCAAGCGAATGAGAGTACACTTTTGCACTAGACCAGATACTCAGGGGTCTAGTCATGCCAAGCCTGCTACTGCTTTCCCTGCTGATGTTGTTGGCTTGGAGTCTTAATAAATATGGACACCCTAGACAATGACACAGTCTGCTAAACTGTATAGCTCCCATGGTTTCTGAGCTCTAGCGGGACTCTTTAAAATTTGGAATATGAATTTTTGATTTCTTAGAGCATAAATCTAGCCTCTTATCCTGATTTATGTACCTATTTAAGTTCTTTCCTTCCTTCCTTCCTTCCTTTCTTCCATGTGAGGGAGAAAGAGACAGACACAGAGAGGGAATGTGAATGTATGCTGTGTGGATGGGGATGCTGTCAGAGGGTGGAGGAGGGTATTGGGTCCCATGGAGCTGGAGTTACAGGTTGTTGTAAACCTTCCCAAACTGAGCAGGAGTCCTGAAAGAGCGGGAAGTATTCTTGACTCTTGAGCTGTTTCTCCAGGCACCTTCTCTCCCTTTATGAAACAGGGTCTCCTGTAGCCCAGGCCGGTCTCAAAATCTACTATGTATCTGAGGATAATCTTGAACTTCTGGTCCTTCTGCCTTTACCTCTCAAATTCTGGGTAACAAATACGAAATACCGCTCCAGGCTTAATTTTCTTCTTGGGACAAGGTGTTACTTGGGCTTCCTTCAGTCTCAGCATTCTCCATGATCGGTCTTTAAATCTAGGATTATAGGTTTGTATCTCTGTGCTGGCCTGGAATAATAGCAGCTTGCAGACCTCATAGGGCTCTTAATGAGGACTCAATCATGATAGGAGATTACATGCCTGTAATCTCAATACTCAGGAAGTTTGAGGCCAGCTTGGTTGGGGTACATAGATTGTCTTAGCCTTGCCTTCCAAATGTGACATAATGAAAGAGACTTAGCTCTTTTAGCCATAATTGTCATTTTTCTGTTTATGTTTTACTGATGGCTACTGCTTATTATTTCTACTCTTTGGGCTGTTTAATTTTCAAGGATGCTGATTGGACTTATGAAAATTAAATAGTTGGCAGAACTGATACAACAACAAATTTATTTGTGGCTGAGGGGTTAGCTTGGTGATAGTGACAAAACACCTATTCACATAAAATGAATGAATGAGTTAAAAAATCCTGAAGTGGAACATGTTTGACTAGTTATTGGTCTATAGCATCTTCAACAGTCCCGAATTCCTGTTTGTCTTTTTATTTTTAGGAAGCATTTATTCGAAGCATTTTGTCAAAGCCTTTCAAGGTCCCTATCCCAAATTATCAAGGTAAAGTGGAGACTTTATTGATTTTCTTTTTTTTTTTTTTTTTTTTTTTTTTGTTTTTTAAAGTTTAGTTTGTGATTTGGTTGAGACAGTGCCTCACTGTGTAATCCTGGGTGGCCTGGAACTTGCTTTATAGACTAGGCTACTGGCTTTGAATTTACAGAGGTCTGCCTGTCTCTGCCTCCTAAGTGCTACTATGCCTGGTAGTTTCTTTGTTAGTATATGGTGTGTGTGTGTGTGTGTGTGTGTGTGTGTGTGTGTGTGTGTGTGTGTGTGCGCGCGCGCGCGTGCGCCCGTGCGCATCTGGCTACTCAGGGAGGTCAGAGGCATTGGATTCCTGCATGTGTGGCCCAGTTTGATACCTGTTCTTAATTGCTTAGACATCTGTTTATTTTGATTCAAGCTTTTGTTTTACAATTCAGACTGGCCTCAGAGTCACAGCAGTTCTGCCTCAGGATCCTGATTAGATTACAAGTGTGCACCACCATGCCTGACATGTCTTTTCCATTTTTTAAATCATTTGTGTCAATGTGCCTAAATGCATTAAAAACTTACATGGTAACCTGGGAGTCAAAGATGTCAGTTGATGGGTGGAGGTGTTTTGATGCTTCTGAGGCCTGTGTGAAGGCTTATACTGCATTTATGAGGGGCTGCCAAGACTTCATCTTCCTGGTGGGGCATGTCACATGTTGCTTAAAAGCTTTTGGTGGGCCTGGTGGCTAATGAATGATTCTGGCCTTCATTCAGTTTAAGCATGTCCAGTATTAGTTCCTTTATACAGTTGACTGTGGAGGTTTAATTTCCACAGTTTTCCTTTGACTTGTTTAGGACATTGCATTGTGCCTGAACTGGGACTGGGGAGGAAAGCAGCCAACTTTCAAGTTCTCACATATGAAAGGCTTCTGTTGAGTTTTATACCTTGCTACAATTGACTTGAGATGAACTTGATAAAGCCCTCCAGAAGTTTGTAGTTGAATGGGAGAAATAAAATAGGAAAAACACTTGAGGGCTAAAGAGGTAATGGTCAAATAGATGCACAAATGGCACAAATGGTTTGAAGGAGTTGTTCTGGGAAAGAAGGTCATGGGTATTCCCAAAGGTTGCATGAAGGATGGGCATTTAAGATGGGCATGCTGGAGTAACTGATTATAGACGGTGAGCTCACAGGTTGATTGCTGATTTTCAGGTCCTCTGGGATCTCGAGCATTGGGCCTGAAAAGGGCTGGTGTTCGTCGTGCCCTCCATGACCCTCTGGAAGAAGGTGCCTTGGTTCTGTATGAGCCTCCCCCACTAAGTGCCCATGATCAGCTGAAGCTTGACAAGTATGCACGTGGTATATTTTGAGTGGTTCTACCCCACTATAAGGATGGGATGGTTTTTGGTGTGAGTCCCCCGTCCCCCCTTTGGAATTGTCATAGGTTGTCAGAGCTGTCATGATAACTGCACTATATCCAGAACAAGTGGCTGGGAAAGGGTGTGCTTATGTTTAGTGCGGGAGTCCCTCACTACCTCTGCCATGCTCTTTGGAGGGACAAGTGGTGCGGTGAGGACAGGAGTGTCACCCTTTCTGAATTTTCTGACTCCTAAAGCAGGACCTCACTGTGGTTTATTTATTACCCTGGGGAGAAGGTGTAATCAACCTGGGTCCACAGGATACTGCTTCCTGATGGTTGACCTTGCTTATGTTTTCTCAGGGAGAAACTCCCTGTCCACGTGGTTGTTGATCCTATTCTGAGTAAGGTGTTGCGGCCTCATCAGAGAGAGGTAAAGGAGGGTCAGAGGAGGTGTGTGGCTAGGGGCTAAGTAGATGTTAAAGTAAATTAATGTTATTATTCATCAGGGAGTGAAGTTCCTATGGGAGTGTGTCACCAGTCGTCGAATCCCTGGAAGCCATGGCTGTATCATGGCTGATGAGATGGGCCTGGGAAAGACACTACAATGCATCACATTGATGTGGACACTTTTACGCCAGAGCCCAGAGTGCAAGCCAGAAATTGAGAAAGCAGTGGTAGTGTCACCGTCCAGCTTGGTGAAGAACTGGTACAGTGAGGTTGGGAAATGGCTTGGAGGGAGGATCCAACCTCTGGCCATCGATGGAGGCTCTAAGGACGAGATAGACCGGAAACTGGGTACGGAGCTTTAACAAACATGCCTACACTTGTGTGTTCACGTGTGGCCAGTGTGGGGCCATGTGGGAAAATTGCCATTGAAAACCAGCACAATTCTTTGTAGGCATGTTAAACAGCTGAGACTATTTTCCTTTAAGATCTTCTGATTTGTTCTCTGACACCTTTCTATTGTAGAAGGATTCATGAACCAGCGTGGAGCAAGAGTACCTTCTCCTATTCTCATCATTTCCTATGAGACTTTCCGCCTTCACGTTGAAGTCCTTAAAAAAGGAAATGTTGGACTGGTCATATGTGATGAGGTACTTGACTCTTTGTAGTCTGGGTGGCAGTATATCAGGATGTCAGAGTTGACACTAAGATTGTTATCGCAGGCCTACACTAGTCATTGGGGACTGCAAAGCACAGAGAATGCTACACTGGAGGGGACAAGTGAGTGGGGAGAGTTTATGACACCGGTTTGCCAAGAGGAGTGGAATGAGGAGAGCTTGCCCGGTGGTAGTGCATGCTTTTAATTCCAACACTTGGAAGGCAGAGGCAGGTGGATCTCAGTGAGTTTGAGGACAGCCTGGTCTACAGAGTGAGTTCCAGAACAGGCTCCAAAGCTACACAGAGAAATCTTGTCTTGAAAAATCAGGGGGGAAAAATAATTGAGGAGAGCTGAGCATGGTGGCATACAGTTTAATTCCAGCACTCAGGAGGCAGAGACAGATGGCTCCTGTAGCTTGGTCTACTGTAGTGAGTTCTAGGTCAGCCAAGACTACATAGTAGACCCTATCTCAAACAAAACTCTGAGGAGAGTTTAGGTACTATGGGCCAATTGGTATTTCCCCCCCACTAAATATTAATCTTTGACCAAAGACTTTGAAGATTGGGATGGATTTAGATGTGTAGTGAGACATGGCACCGTGTTTAAGGGAACTGGTTTTAGAATTATGGAGATTCAGATCCTGGCTCTGCCACTTAGTAGTAGTGTGACCATATACTTAAGTTACTTAACCTTGCCAGCTTCTGTTTCTGCATTTGGAAAATAGAGTGATCATACCTGCCTCGTGGGATTATTATGGGGACTCAGCAAATCAATTGGGGACGCTCCTATCCCAGTGTCCGGTGTCTCTCAAGCCTTGGTAAAGATAGTTTTTATTCTGGGTTTGGAATGTTTGAATGATTAGAAGCACAGAGATAAGTCTTGTGTATTACATAGGTGTGGTGGCACAAGCCTATAATTGTAGAAACTCAAAAGGCTGAGTTTCTAGAATTATACAGAGCTAGTTCTAGGACAAGCTTCAGAGCAATACAGAGAAACCCTGTCTCAAAAAACCAAAAAAGAACATTTGTTGTTCTTCCCGAAGACCAGGGTTCAGTTCCCAGCATCCCCAGGTATCTCACAGCTATCTGCAACTATAGTCTCGGGGGATTCAATACCCTCATATGGACATACATGGTAAAATAAAGGTAAATCTTTAAAAAAAAAAAAAAACAAACCAAGACAAAACAGTTTATGCCAACCTAGCCTACAAAGAGAGGGCTGTTTAAAAACAAAGGCAAAGTAAAGTCCTAGTGTGGGCATTCTACATAGGGTCTTGTTTTTAAACTTGTGTGTATGTATATATGCCTGAGTACATGTATGTATAACTCGTATGCAGGAGGTTGTGGAGGTCAGAAGTTGTAGGATTCCCTTGAATGGGAGGTAAGGGCTGTTGTGAGCTGCTATGTAGGTGCTGGGTAAAGCACCTGAGTCCGAAAGAGCAGTATGCACTCTTAACCGCTGAGCCATCACTCCAGTTCTGAGAGATTGGGGTGGGACAAGAATGTGGGTTTAGGGAGGAAACAGATAAAAACCTTACTTTTGTAAGCTATTTCCCTACTGGCCTTTTATCTTTATGAAGCCTCTTATTGATTACCTGGTGAGTTTCCTGATACCCTGATGGGTAGTCCCTCCTAATACAGGTGGAGTACATAGCAGGCTAAGGTAGAGTACATGTGACTTTCCTATGTTTACGGCCTGATATCTTTTTTTTTTTTTTTAAGACAGGGTTTTTCTGTGTAACTTAGGAGCCTGTCCTGGCATTTGTGCTGTAGAGCAGGCTGGCCTGGCCTTGAACTCAACAGAGATCCACGTGCCTCTGCCTCCCCAAGTGCTGGGATTAAAGGCATGCACCATCACCACTTGGTATCTTATTTTATCACCGTCTAAGGTGAATGTTAGGAGCCTGGTCTAAGTCAAGAGGTTGTATTAGAGAAAGCAAGCTGAAGCTCTTGTTCTCTGGGAACATTTAGGTTTATTTATTTTCTCATAGATAGGGTCTCACTCTAGTCCAGGCTGGCATAGAACTATATAGCCCAGGCTAGACTCACACTTGACAGTCCTGTTGCCTCAGCATCACAATGCTAGGGTTATAAGCATAGTCCATCATTCCTAGCTCAGAAGCTGGTTTTTGTTTTGTTTTTGTTTTAAATCTGATGATAATGATAGAAACTGTCTGGAGCCTCAGTGACTGGTCCAGTAGGAGCTGGAGTAGTCCATCCAGAGACTCACAGTGCTCATTTATTAGGTTTCATTCAAGTGCCCGTTATGTACCAGGCACAGTACCAGGGATACTGTGAGGCCTTTTTTTCAGCGAGCTTCAGTTTAAAGGAACCCAATTATTGGTGTCCATTAAAAGTTAAATTTTTATGTTTAATTCTTCCATAGATGAATCTTAATTTATCTTACATTCAAGTAATACTGAGCAATATTTTGTGCATGACTGTATTCTGTGTACTGAAAGTATTATAGAAAGCAAATGTGTGGATCTGCTTTTAAGAAGTTCATGTTTAGTTGAGATAAAGCCCAATGGCTTTGGAGTTGACAGTCCTGGATTTCAGTTACAGATCTGCTAACTTGTATGGTGTGATTTTCTTTTTGGGATGGGGGTGACTGTTTACTTCTCTGAACCAAGATTTCTTCATTTCTAACATGAATATAATGTCCATTTGTTGTATGGATTATGAGGGACTCAGGGAAGTCTTTGTTTAATGCCACCATCCAAAGCAGATTGCACAGAACAAGTCTAATGTGTTCATTCTTCACTGGTGGGTGACTTTAATTTTTATTGTATTTTTTAAGTTTTGGTGGCTTTTCCAGCATAGAAATGAGAGGAAGTTGTGTTTAGAAAGGCCATTTGCAAACAGGGTGGTGGTGGCACACGCCTTTAATCCCAGCATTTGGAAGGCAGAAGCAGGTGGATCTCTGTGAGCACGAGACCAGCCTGGTCTACAAGAGCTAGCTCCAGGACAGCCTCCAAAGCCACAGAGAAACCCTGTCTTGAAAAACCAAAGGAAAAGCTGGGTGTTGGTGGTGCATGCCTTTAATCTCAGCACTAGGGAGGCAAAGGCTGGCGGATCTCTGTGAGTTTGAGGCCAGCCTGGTCTACAGAATGAGTGTCAGGACAGGCTCGAAAACAATACAGAGAAACCTTGTCTCATAAAACCAAAAAAAGAAAGAAAAACCAAAAGAAAAAAAAAAAAAATGGCTTCAAGAGATGCTAGAGATGACTGAAGGGAGGACAGATTAGGGAAAAGCTGTGAAGGGAAGCTCTTTGGATATATTAGCTATATGGACTGTGCTCTGAAGGTAGAGTACAATATAATGGCTCAAAAAAAGATATTAAAGCACCAGGCTCTGAAAGCTCTGGGTTGTTTGGACTGGCAGGGAAGGGGAGGGAAGGACTCCCTGAAAACACTGGTCTGTATCATGGCCATGTGGACTGTAAAAGATTGGTGAGTAATAAGGTTCTGGACATTTGGAAATGGAAGAATGGGAGGAAACAGGGAACCCTTGCTTTTGGGGTGTAGCATTGGTCTACTTTGTGAGCCTAATACTTTTCTTCAAGCCAATATGCAAAGCAGCTACTGTCCTACCTAGTTCCTGCAAGCTTAGGACCTATAACACTTGTGACTCTTTTCTCTCTGCATACTTTGTCATTTAATTTTATCATTTAAGAATATTAAATCATCCTAAGTGAGAATTATCTTGCAGGGACACAGGCTTAAGAACTCTGAGAATCAGACTTACCAGGCCCTGGACAGCTTGAATACCAGTCGTCGGGTGCTCATCTCCGGGACCCCCATCCAAAATGACTTGCTTGAATATTTCAGCTTGGTGCACTTTGTTAATTCAGGCATTTTGGGTAAGGAGTCTTGCCTGCTTTGTCCTTAGAATATAACTCCAGTTGAGGAGAGCAAGGAGACACTGCCAATTTAGGTGTGGATCCATAGACACTCTTGTTGGAAGTCTTCTTTTGTCAGAGAGTAGCCAAGCTGATGCTTGTAATCTCAGCACCTGGGAGATGGAGGCAGGAGGATGAGGAGTTCAAAACCATTCCCAGCTACATGGAGAGTTTGAAGTCAGTTTGGGCTGCATTAGACCTTTCCTTACAAGAGAAAAAGGAGTGGGGAGGCAAAACTGTAGGGTGGCTTTGACTGGAGCAACTCTGGAAGACCCACTTGAGCCATTTGTGTTTTGCAGAGGCAGTGTTATCTATGTAGGCAATGGTATGCCTATCAGCTGGAGCTGGAAAGATCCCTGTGCATTAAAATTCTATGTGATACATGTTAATGTGGGTATGTTCATGTGGGTGCCTGTGTATAGGTGTCTGATTGCTGTCTACCTTAGTTTTAAATTTTTTCATATTTTTATATTTTTGGTTGTGAGCCTAAGCTTTTAGTAGCTGAGCCATCTAGATCTCCAGCCCTTTCATATTACTTGTAAAGGATTTAAAATTTTTCAAGTTTTTTTTTTTTTTTTTTTTATGTCTATGACTGTTTATCTGTGTGTATGTATGTACATCACCATTTGTGTGCTTGGAATCTGAGGTGTACAAATGGCTGTTAGTCACCATGTGGGTTCTGGGAGCTGACCCAGGGTCCTTTGCAAGAGGAGCAAGTGCTCCCTTTATACTTAGTATTTTATTATTATTATTATTTTATTGAGGCAGGGTTTCTCTATGTTGCCCAGGCTGTCCTGGACTCACTCTATAGACCAGGCTGGACTCAAATTCACAGAAATCTGCCTGTTTCTCCCTCAAGAGTGTTGGGATTAAAGGCATGCACCACTTCTGGGATCTATACTTAGTATTTTTAATTATGTATATATGTGTGTGTCTGTGAGGGTTTGTGTACATTAGTGCAGTTGTTCATGGATTTTAGAAGAGAGAGTTAGATTCCCTGGAGCTGGAGTTATAGTCAGTTATGAGCTGCCCTACATGGGTGCTAGGAATGGAATTTGAGTCCTACAAGAATGGTCAGTATATGCTCTTAAAACCTGAGCCATCTTTCCAGTCCTACATTTTTATTTAAGTATGAGATGGGATAAGTTTGTGCATGCCATAACAGTTTTCAACCAAGTTAGTCCTAGGAATTGAACTCAGGTTGTCAGGCTCTATAGCAAGTGCTTTACTTGCTGAGCCATCCCTTTTGCCTGTCACTTTAGTTTTTTGAGACAAGGGCTTTCACTGAACCTCTGATTGGTCAATGGTGGCTCATGCCTTTAATCCCAGTACTTAGGAGACAGAGGCAGGCTGATCCCTGTGAGTTGGAGACCAGCCTAGTGTACAGAGCAAGTTCCAGGACTGCCAGGACTCTTTCACATAGAAACCCCGTCTTGAAAAACAAAAAAAAAAAAAACAAAACAAAACAAAAGCCAACCAAACAAACAAAAAACTCGTTTTATTTTGTTTATATGTGCTTTGCCTTCATGTATGTCTTTGTATCACATGTGTGTGCCTGTTATTTAAGGAACCAGAAGAGGGCATGAGATCCCTTGGGGTTAGAGTTACAGATGGTTGTGAGCCACCCTGTGAGTGCTGAGAATTGACCTTGGGGTTCTCTGGAAAAGTCATTGTGGTTTGTTTTCACATTTTTATTGGGACAACAGGGAAGGGAGGGGCCTCTTCTATCAGCAGGAGTAGTCAAAGGTTCTTCAGACATTCCAATCTTCAGTGCCCTTAACTACTGAGCTATCTCTTTGTCCTCCATTCCATACCACCAGCATCTTTCATATTACGTTTTTTTTTTTTTTTTTTTTTTTTTTTTTTGAGACAAGGTCTCATGTAGCCCTGGTTGGCCTGGAGTCTCCTATGTTGACTAGGATGACTTCAAAACTAAACAGGTCTACCCACCTCTGCTGGGTTAAAGCTGTGCACCATTTTGCCTGATGTATTTTGTTTTTTAAATTTATTGTATGTGTGTATGAGATAGAATGTGAATGAATATATGCTGCCATGTCACAGGAGGTCAAAGCACGATTTTGGGCTTGAATCTTGCCTTCTACCCTGTTAAGATAGGATCTTTCTTGTTTCTGCTGCTGTGCTCTCAAGCATCCAGGAGAAGCTCTGCCTCCCAGGTTCCCATAGCAGTGCTGGAATTACAGAATTGTGCCATTGCCTCTAGCTTTTTTATGGGTTCTGGAGATGGAATTTGGGTTGTCAGTCTTGTGCTGCTAGCGCTTTACTCACTGAGCCACAGCCACTGCTATAATTACCTTAGAGTTGGAATTTTAGTCCATGTACAATTACTGTAAGTTTTTTTTTTTTTTTTTTTTTTTAAATTAGGGCATTACCATCTAACTATATTTAGCCACTCAAATCTTCTCTGCTTTGCTGTCTGATTCATTAAATGAAAATTGCTTGTATTTTGTTCAGCTTTGTTCTCAGTAGGGAGGGTGATTGGTGACAAGGTGGTTTGTTGTTATTAGCAGCAGGAAAAACCATTCCACCCTTACATGCTTTAATATTTTGTTCTCTCCTGAGTTTAGGAACTGCCCAGGAGTTCAAAAAGCATTTTGAGTTGCCAATTTTGAGGAGTCGAGATGCAGCTGCCAGTGAGGCAGACAGGCAGCTAGGGGAGGAACGTCTCCGGGAGCTCATCAGTATTGTGAATAGGTAATAGCCTCAATTCTGGTCTCCAAGTGGTTTGTGATCTTTCAAGCTATTTGGGAGCTGCCCAGATCTGTGGGCTTGGTCTATCTGCAGCCTTTAAGGGCTGGTATTTAAGTGCCATGAATTGTCACTGAATAAATAACAAAGTCTCATAGAGTACGTTCCACTTCTGGTGAGCCCTGGGGCCTGGTTTTGTTCTTATCAGTCTGCTAAAGAAGCTCTTCTGTGGTGCAGTTAATCTTCCTGAATAAGACATATCCTTGTTAGTACTTTAGAACCTTCTTGACAGTTGTGTTTAGTCTGAGTGTACAGACTCTAGTTCTGTGGAGAGCTGAAGAATCTTTGTGGCTCCCAGCCCAAGAAGGCCTGTTTCTTACAGTGGGTTTCACATGAACCAGGGGCAAGCACATTCTAGATTGCTGACATTGGTATGTGGCCTTGATAAATTACAGTATGAATTCCCTGCTCTTACCAACTGCAAGGGTACCCCGTACCACCAATTTTAGATGGCAGAGTTATTGTGTTCTATGAAGCTGCTGGTTTTTTGTTTGTTCTTTCTTTTCTTCTCTTTTTATGAGATAGTATCTCATGTATCCCAGGCTACCTCCCCGATGCTGGGATTCAGGTATGTGCTGGCATGCCTGACTCAGCAGGTACTCAGAAGGTACTTCTGTTCTTCCCAGTCTGCCCAGGAGATAAGGGCTGAATGACTCCGGGGGTATGGGGGTGGGGAGTGTGGGGGTAGGTATCATGTAACAGTTGGTTCCTGGGCAAATGCAGATAGAAGCCTCCCAATCAAGACTTACAGTTTAGGGACTGGAGAGTTGGCTTAGTGGGTAAGACCACATGTTGTTCTTGTAGAGAATTCCCAACACCTACATGGTAGCGTCCATAATTCCAGTTCCAGGGGATCTGGTGCCCTCTTCTGACCTTTGAGGGTACTAGCATGAACATAGTGCATAGACATACATGCAAGAACACTCATATACATAAAGTTAAAGGAAAAAAATCCTGAAGTTTGTGACCCACTTTTCCTGACAGAGCTGCAGGGTGAATGCAAGACCTAGCTTTCTTTTAAAGACCAGCCAACAAGCTGAAAGTAACTACAGCAATTAAAACAAGTAAATAAATAAATCTCATTATTTATGGAATGATGAATCTATGATATATGTCATAGAAATGATAGGTTTGATATACTATAAAATAGAGTGAGTCTTGGTCCTTTAGGTAGGAGCTTTTATTCTAGTATGTGGCACCTTAGTTTGATTAGCTTCTTATTTTTTCTCATTTTCCCTAGATGCCTGATACGGAGAACATCAGATATCCTCTCTAAATATCTGCCAGTGAAGATTGAGCAGGTGGTTTGTTGCAGGTACTGAAATTAACTGAAAGGTGTGCAGTAAGTGGGTAAAAACTTAGCTTCTGAAGCATGGCTGAATCTCAAGATGTTCTTAGGGTAGAAGTATGTGTGGTCTAGCTTTTTTCTGGTGAGCCATCTGCCTTTTTATTTTTCAGGCTGACACCCCTTCAAACTGAGTTATATAAGAGATTTCTGAGACAGGCTAAGCCTGAAGAAGAATTGCGTGAAGGCAAGATGAGTGTGTCTTCCTTGTCTTCTATCACCTCTCTAAAGAAGCTGTGTAACCGTGAGTGTGCCCATGCCCAGTGTCTTGACTGTTTGAGTGAGCAAGGGAGAGGAAGTTCTTGAGGATAGGCTGGTGACCTTTGCTAGAGATTTCATGGAGGTCACATGTGGTATAACGTTCCATAAGACATGACCCCTGTCATGTGGACTCTTCTGTGAATTATACCTTTACTTTGGAAACTACATTGTCTTTTGCCTACTCCATCCTTGGTGCTTGAGATGTGTTGTATTGTGTATGTGAATGCTTCTGTGTCCACAAACTTCTTGTACAATGTTAGGCAGGGAAAAAGTAACAAACAATGCCTCCCATGTTATTTTTTTTGTTGGGAGAATACATAGTAATGAGTGATACTGTCCATTTAGGCTTCCAGATGGTACTGGCTACACCCTGTGGGAACGGGAGTGGGAGGGTGGGGTGGGGTGGCGGGTGGAGAGGACTCACCCCAAGAGAGTCTAGTTGTAAGCAAGGTTTCACCTTAGGTGCCAGATATACAAAGGCTGAGCCCAGAAGTGGAAGCTTTAGAAAAGCAAAGTCACTACTACTTTGGTATGGTTTTGATTTTTTTTTTTTTTCTTCCAGATCCAGCTCTAATCTATGACAAGTGTGTGACAGGGGAGGATGGCTTTGAGGGCTCTTTGGATATCTTCCCACCTGGTTATACTTCTAAAGCTGTAGAACCACAGCTGTCAGGTGAGCCCTCCCCATCAGGAGATAGTCTCTTTGGAGGAACATAGGAGAAGGGCAGGAAATTTGTCTCTGTGCTGAGCTATCCTGTCTGAAAGCAGGATATCAAATGTAATAATCCTGGGTCATTGGGAAGACCAATTGTGTTGACTGATAGTAGTCACTCTTCCCAGGTAAGATGCTGGTCCTTGATTATATTCTGGCCATGACTCGAAGCAGCAGCAATGACAAAGTTGTGTTGGTGTCCAATTATACTCAGACGTTGGATCTCTTTGAAAAGCTGTGCCGAGCTCGAAGGTAGGGAAGAGTCTAACCAGGCTACCAAAGGGATGTGTCTCCCTCACTGGTACTCTAGGAAGACTATACTTTTCTGATTATTGAGTGTTTATTAAGATGTGGCTGTATAAATGACTTTCCTGAGTTCTCTTCCCTGATGGCTGTGATAATATTAGCTCCATTTTTACAAATGGAGTACTCCTACAGATCTTAATTCCTGCCCTTATTTCTCTGTACTTCTTATCGGGAGACTTCAGACTATGTGTGCATGAGCAGCCTCAAGATGGTTAATCTAGTCTTATTGGTAGCCATAGCTTCAAGGAATTCATCCTTCTTGGGTCTTGACCTTTGTATATCCCTTCAGGTACTTGTATGTTCGACTAGATGGTACAATGTCCATTAAGAAGCGAGCCAAGGTTGTGGAGCGCTTCAATAGTCCATCGGTAAGCACACCAATACACAGGGATTAAATGTTGACAGAGAAGCTGTAAGGAGCTGTGTTTCATTGTTTTACTTTTTTGTGTTCTGGTGGGTGTGATGAGGCTGATCTGTGATGACTGGCGTAGAATCTGACTTTATGGGTTAGGAAACTGAATGGTAGGCATACCAACTTGTCGTCAGCGAGTACAGAAGAGTGGGAGACTTGTTGGCTGAGCTGAGACGGATCCTAGCTTAAGTTCCAAATGTGTGCACCCCACCCTCTCCTTTCTTGTTTCTTTTTTCCCAGAGTCCTGATTTTGTCTTCATGCTGAGCAGCAAAGCTGGGGGCTGTGGTCTTAATCTCATTGGTGCTAACCGGCTGGTCATGTTTGATCCTGACTGGAATCCAGCCAATGATGAACAAGCTATGGCCCGAGTCTGGCGTGATGGTCAAAAAAAGACCTGCTATATTTACCGACTGCTATCTGTAAGGATGATGATGGTGGATCAGTAGGGGTGGGTCATGAAACAAGACCATCTTAACTATTTCTCAGTGTCTCTTTTTAGCCCTTCTGCCTCTGTCTGGCCATAGTATTTACTTAACTGAGTCCTTTATTATTCTGTATTCCCTCATCCCTTCTCTTTGTTATCTACCTGTATCCTCCAGATGTTTCTTGCTGTGCTCTTTGGATGCTTATTCAACTCATAGGTCACTATTTTCTTTCATACTGTGTCATTTGTTTTAGAATCTTCTTAGGCTCCATGTCCCAAAGGGCTAAAAAGTGGTAAATAATGTTAATTATACACTACAGGTCATGCAGACTATTATCTGGATCTGTAGCTTACTGATGACTTTGGACACAAGCTGTCCCAATCTAGTAGCTGTCCTGAAGTAGCTGACCAGAAGAGGGCACCAAATCTCATTACAGATAGTTATGAGCCACTATGTAGTTGCTGAGTGTCTCTCCAGCCTCTGTGGAGTGGGGAGTTGGTTGAGACAGTGTTTCTGTGGTGTAGCTCTGGCTGTTCTGGAACTCATTTTGTAGACCAGGCTGGCCTGGAACTCAAGAGATCCACCTGCTTCTGTCTCTCAAATTCTGGGATTAAAGACGTGCACCACCACAGTCCTACTCTTTCTTATACTCACATACTTTACCCTGTTTCTAGAACAGAACCTTCCCAAGAAATCTTCCTGCCCTAGCCTCCTGAACAACTGAACCTGTGTTTCTAACCCCACTATGCCCAGCTTTCACTTCACTCTTGGTTTGTAATCCATCTTTTTTCTTTCTTTTGAGATAGCTAAAAAAGAATCTACTTTCAATATTTTCTGATTACTGGGACCCTGGGTATCAGGCAGACTTATGTCATTGTACAAGTTTGTTTATAAGTCTATAAAAGTGTAGAGTGAGTGACCTAAAGGATAGGGATCATATTTCATTCCCCCTTTATCCTATTATTAGTATATGACCTGAAAAATTACTCAAATGATATTGAATAAAATAGTGTTGGGCCTGGTGTGGAGGGAGCTTTGCTACAGATAATCTGTTTTTACCCTAAATGGATTTAGCCTAGTCCCCAACAACCCTCCACTGGTACAGGAAATACCAAAGCAGCACAATTCTTGACTCTAGAAGAATTAGGAAAATGGATCTCAGCCGAGACAGATATTAGCCCAGCATTTAAACTATACACTCATTACCCTTTTTCAAGATGGCTATAACCCTGGGTTTTTCTACTCAGTATCTACAGGGAGAGACTAAGCCTTATATCTTGTTCTTTGCTAGGCTGGAACCATAGAGGAGAAGATCTTTCAGCGGCAGAGCCATAAGAAAGCGCTGAGTAGCTGTGTGGTTGATGAGGAGCAAGATGTTGAGAGACATTTTTCTCTTGGTGAGCTCAAAGAGCTCTTTACCCTGGATGAAGCCAGCCTCAGTGATACACATGACAGGTAGGTAGAGTACTCCGTCATTATCTCTGAGCTACCTGAACAGCACAGAAATAAGATCTGTAGTGACCATAACTCTATTTTCTGACCCAGGCTGCATTGCCGCCGTTGTGTAAACAGACGCCAGGTCTGGCCACCCCCTGATGGTTCTGACTGCACTTCAGATCTGGCTCAGTGGAACCATAGCACAGATAAACGGGGACTCCAGGATGAGGTACTTCAGGCAGCCTGGGATGCTTCATCTACAGCCATCACCTTCGTCTTCCATCATCGTTCTCATGAGGAGCAGCGGGGTCTCCACTGATAACCAGCTGGTCTGGATGTAGTAGTTAGAGGAAGGATACAGGAAAAGAGGGTTCTCTGCCTCATGGGGCTCTGCTCAGTTTTGTTCTCTGGGAGAAAATCATCAAGAAGGGCTACATGATGTTTGCCCAAAATTTATTTTATAAGAAAAACTTTTTTGGTTTAAAAAAAAAGAAAAGAAAAAAAAGAAATAAAGGCATGAAAGGGACTGAGTCCTAGGAACAGACTGGTAAGCCCAAGAGGGAAAAGGCCTGGTGGTGGACATTCTTATGCTTCTCTAAAGCCTTGGTGCCTCTTGAGGAAGGAGGCAGGTAACCCCAGGGCAGGGGTAGGAGGCTTTCTGCAGTGATGACCTATAACCTCCTGGCCTGAGGTTCCCAGGGTACTGAGTAAGTGGCTGAAAGCTTCTGAATTGCTGTGGGAATGCCTTTGCTGGGCCTCATCTGGGCCTCCAGGACCTCAGTGCAGGGGAAGATGGGATGGGGGGGGAAACAAAAAAAAAAAACCAAAACAAAAAAAACAACAAAACCAAACAAAAAACCAGACAAAATGGCAGAAGGAGAATGACAGAATCAGTGGTTGGGGATTCTGGGCAGCCCATTCCTCAGCCCCTGCAAGCTGATGGTACTGAGGATGGGACTGTGAGGTATGGGCCCCATCACATGGTGCTGACATAATCTGCAAAGGCTTGGGATGAGTCCCATGAGTCGCTAACCACATGGCAGGTAGCCCGGAGTCGTCGAATTGCTTCCCTTGCTGTGACTGCATCCTGGTCCAGCCAGTTCTGGAAGAGGCGTAGGTGACCAAAGGCTCCACGGCCCCAGCGCTCCAGTCGCTTGGCAAACTCCAGAAGCCCATCTGGCTTGATGCAGTTGGAGCTGGTAGGGATGAAATGGGTTAGATATCTAGGAAGCAATTAGGCTTTGTCTATATCCCTTCCTCCCATCCCTTCTCTCCCCAATCCCTAACATACCTGATATCCAACTGACAGAGAGAAGAGGAAGAATCCTCTGAGAAAACATCTGCCAGGGCCAACAGGCCAGCATTCCCTGGAGAGAGGGACAGGAATTCTCATTACCTTGATCCAAGAGCAGAGAAACAAGGGTATCCTATCCCAGCTCCATCTTAGGAAAACCCTAGTCCCAGCAGTTCTGAAGACCTAGTACTCAAATAACCTATATTGCAATCACAGCCTTCTTAGTGGAGTAGTCAAAACTTTTACCCCACAAGTTTATAGGTCAAAGACCTGGTTCCTTCCTCCCTCCCTCTCCAGGGTCTGATCCCCACCCAGGCGGTTCCCTGGTAGTCGAAGGCCCTTCAGTGTAGAGTTGCCCTTCATAGCAGCAACCATCTCAGGAAGAAATTGGGCTGGGCGCTTCTCAAACAGACGACAGAAGGAAAAGGTAATCTCTGTCAAGAGAAAATAAAATGTTTGGGTAAGAAGTAAGGCAGTGCCATTCCTCCTGCCCCAGGTAGTCCTAGCAAGGTGTGTGGGCATTTTATACAGTCTAGAGAAGAATCTGTAAAGTCCAAGCAATGTTGGAATTCAATTCAAGTAAAATACTGAGCCTAAATGTTTGCTGGGAGAAGCATCTCTGCATGGACAATTTTTTTTTTTTTTTTTTAAATTCAGTTCTTCCTCTCTGTAGCCACTGATCCCTTTGCAGGGGTGGAGATTAGTCAGAAGTGAATACCTAAAGGGGACATGTCACAGTATCACATTTCTCCCTACTATCTTTTTGTTGTTTTGTTTTTTCGATATAAGAGTTTCTCTGTGTAACAGCTCTGGCTGTCCTGGAACTCACTTTGTAGATCAGGCTGGCTTTGAATGCACAGAGATCCACTTGCCTCCCAGGTGTAACTCACCCTTTCCTCACTGTATCATTTTTTAAAACTTGAACCCACCCAGGGTGCTACTACCACCTTTTCTGCCAGCCCCTTACAAAACAAAGTGAGGTACTAAAAATTGGGTAAATGCCCATGTTTGAAGAGCAGTTGAATTTGGGACATTAGAAGGAAGGTTATACAGGTTCTATATCCTTATAGTCAAGGAAGATATTAAGACTAGGGAAAGAATAGTGGTTGCTACTAGAGTTAGTGAGGACAAAGGAATGCTCAGGCTCTAGATTAGGATCTTACCTTGAAGGGTCAGATTCTGTAGCAAAAAGAGCACCTCACTCTGACAATCTGCAAGATTCATATCGTGGAAGCTCAGTCTCTTCAGAGATAGGTTATATTCTGGATAGGAGGAAGAAGCCATGGGCTTAGTTTTCCCAGGGAACAAGGAAGGGTAGGTTCCCTACCTACCCTCCTTTACCATTCCTACCTTTGAGTGTTTGCAACACAAGCCCAAAATCCTGGGGAGAGGCAAAAGTGGCACTGTCCAGTGACAGCTGCTGTAGAGAACCTGAGGCCTTCAAAACAGAGCAGAGCAGTGGAGCTGGCTGAGCTCCTCGTGGAAACCCCATTTCCAGTTGCTCTAGGCAGTTTTCTGCATATAATAGGAAGAGGAAATTCCAATCAGCTGTCTATACTTAAAAATACATACTTGGACGGGTGGTGGTAGTGGTGGTGGCACATGCCTTTATTCCAGTACTTGGGAGGCAGGAGGATTTCTGAGTTCAAGGCCAGGTCTACAGAGCAAGTTTCAGGACAATCAGGGCTACACAGAGAAACTGTCTCAAACAAAGCAAAAACAGAAGTATTTTGTATGTGTACCACTACTTGGTGGTCAGGGAAAATAAGGAGTTGATTCTGCCATGTGGGTTTCAGGTCTGATGGAAAGTACTTTTCCATGTTGAACTACCCCTCTGACCCACTATTCCTATATACAGTAGACTCATTAGGAAAATGGCTTATCCTGCTCCTACTATGTGTCAGGCTTTATGATTAAGTTCTAGAAATGCACCATTAAATATGAAATCCCGTTTGCATTCAAGCAAATAAAAGTATGTAGGTGGCTTAGGGGCTAAGTGTTTGATGTGTAAGTGTGAAACCCTGAGTTTGGATCCCCAGAACCTATATAAATGGCAGGTCTGGCAGGGTGGTAGTGGTGCACACCTTTAATCCCAGCGCTTGAGGCAGAGGCAGGTGGATCTCTGAGTTCAAGGCCAGCCTGGTCTATGGAGACAGTTCCAGGACAGGCTCCAAAGCTACACAAAGAAACCTGCCTTGAAACAATCAATCCATCAATCAAATCAAATCAATCAGTCAAATAAATAAGTGCCAAACAAATAAATGGCAGATCTGTCATGGCCCACACCTACAATTCCAGCACTGGAGAGGTAGAGACTAGCTGGCCTGGAATTCAGAGATCTGCCTGCCTCTGCCTCCCCAGTGCTGGGATTAAAGGTTTGTGCCACCACCACCACCTGGCTTTTTAAAGTTTTAATTTTTTGGTTGTTCCCTGATTTCTCCAGTGATACATGCATGCGCATATACACTGAACAACAAAATCCTTAAAAGGTAGTTTAATCCCAGGACTCAGAAGGCAGAGGTAAGTGGACCTCTATGAGTTCAAGGCCAGCTTGGCCTACAGATGAAGTTCTAGGATAGTCAAAGATATACAGAGCAACCCAAAAGAGAAAAGAAATAAAGTAGGGCCATTGAATCTAGTTTAAAAATGATCAGTTTAGATCCCCTTTCTGAAGATAGATGTCCTGGTCATGCTCACAGTCCTGGGATCTGTCTAACCTGAGGTTATTTTAAAGACTGGCAGTTTGTAGTTGGGCAGTAGTGGTGCTCACCTTTAATCCCAGCACTCGGGAGGAAGAGGCAGGTGGATCTCTGAGTTTGAGGCCATCCTGGTCTACAAAGGTACAAAGAGAAAGCCTGTCTTTCAGGGGATGGGGAGGAAAAGCAGGACAATGACAACAGGGTTAAGTGCAAAAAGCTATAGTTGAAGTTCCCTTCCTCTCCCCAGCCAAACACAACTGTACATGTCACTGTGTACATACATATACACACTACTTTACCTGGTATCTCATCATCCCCAATTATGTGGCTAGGGGTCCCAGCATTCTCTGGAACAGCAGGGTTATCCCTCTGGCTCGGGTGGTCAACACGAATGGACAGGACCCGTAGCAGTGGGAGGGCACGAACAATGGCACGAGTCAACTCCAGGATGGGTAGTGGTGAGAACAGGTCACTGAGATGCAGGGCACGGAGGCGGCACCCAGCCTGGCCTGACAAGGCTCGCAGGCTGTCCAGTAGGCGGAAGATATTAGAACCCAGGCCTATGGCAAAAGAGATTAAATTACAGATGTGGGAAATTTAAGCAGAATATTCAGTGAATGCTCTATTTTTATTGATTACTACAAAGTCTTGAGCTTTGGATCTGATTATCAGGCTTTTAGTTTTGAGATAGGTTTCAGACCTTACAGTCTCTGCCTATTTCTCCAGAGCTGGGGTCATGGGTGTGCACCACCATGCCTGGCTGTGGATCATATATTTTTGTCCTTTGTAAGTAGCAAACTGCTATCTGCGGTAGGGGCTTTGTACTCTAGAGTCATCAGGAGAATCCCAAAATAAGATAGGTGTGGTTGTGCAAGTAATTTAGTAGTTAGGCACTGATGTCTAGATAAAGATTTTAAGTAGTTTCCTAAAGATGCATGGTCTTAAGGGAATTTTGGATAATTGGCTATCTCAGAGATATCAACTCATGAATGGGAAGGGTCTTAGAACACAGCTGCTAGAGTCCTGTATTGGGGCCAGCATTGTGGAAAGTCTTGAAAGCTAAGTTATAGAGAGCTTGATCTCATAGGTCATGGATGCACTTGTAAAATAAGTAATGATGGTCCAACCCAGTATATTGTAGGTAGGAATGGAAAAAAAAATTGTAGAATGGATGCACATTAGGTCAGTGGTAGAACATGTGCCTAATGTGCATGAGTCCTTGGGTTTGATATACTAGAAAAGAAACAAAAAAAAATATTTCTCACAGGATTAATAGAGTCTAAAAAACTATGGCTTATTTAATAATCATAGGTAACTTCTGGGAAACAAGTTCTTTTCCTTGGATTTGTAAGCTGCTGATAATTTATTTACCCAATTAATCCTTGCCCCCTCAAGACAGGGTTTCTTTGTGTAGCCCTGGCTGTCCTGGAATTAGCTCTGTAACCAGGCTGGCCCCAAACTCACAGAGATCTACCTGCTTCTGCCTCCCAAGTGCTGGGATTAAAGGCCACCATGGCCTG